GGGTATACCCCAGCGGACTGACGGGACTGGACTGGACTGGCTGGTACCGACAGAGGTACCGGCCTGGACTGGCCTACCCCGAATACAACACAGGCCTGTGAGAAGAGGCCAAGGGGCTGGTCTCATAGGCCAACCCGAGGTCCGCTACAAAAAGCTACCTACCACCGGCGGTCCTACAGGTAGCAGGTTCAAATCTACGGGTTGACACCGTTACTGTGCATAGGTAAGATGGGGAACTAGGGATCGAGCCCTGGGGTCTGCATCCGCTACTGCGAACTGGTGAATACCGTTTCACTCCCGCCGGCCTAAATTCGAGGTCCTCCGAGAAAATTTCAGTCCAAGGCAGGACCTTTACCTCTCTGTTGTCTCTTGTAGGCCCGGACTATATCGGGAGCTGTCTCTAGAAGTTCCGATCTCGTAAACCAGCGGTCGTCTTCCGGTTCTTGATAACTAAAATGAACCTTGTACTGTTTCTGCGGACGACCCCTACCTCCAGTTCTGAAGATATCTTCAGCCACTATACCATCGATGTCATATCTTCCATCCATATCCGGTGGGATCATCGATCTACGGGATGGAAACTAATCACTTGTTTGACAAGGTAACAACTTCGATGCATGGAAAACTGGGTAAGTGTGGAGGTGTGCTGGGAGCTCTATGGTGTAGGACGGTCCATCCTCGCCGCCCTTGACTTCTAAGACTGGCCACGGTCCTCTGTAGGTGGGCAGTAACTTCTGCGAGATGTTCTCCTCAGGTGCAAACTCTCTAGAACTGACCCAGACTAAGTTCTTTTTCGTGTTGTACAGCAAACTCCCTGGTCCCGGGCGACAATCTGTGAATTTGATCCCGGTTGAGTCCTTCAAACGGTCTACGAGGCCTAAAGGACTTGTGCAGTTCGTTGGGAGTGCGGCAGGTGGACAGATGCACGTTGTTGTTGTACGCACTAGCTACTTTAGGCAGCATCTCATCCCAGTTAATCTGATCTGGCGTAATGGACATGCACAGAACTTGCTGTAGGATCTTGTTCATTTGCTCAGTCTGACCGTTAGTCTCTGGATGACGGCCGGACGACATCAACAACTTAGATCCATATACTCCCATGAGTTCTTGCCAGTTCTGGCTGGTAAAACGACTATCTCTATCGCTAACTATTGACAGTGGGATTCCATTCTCACTCACCCAACAATCAAAAAATCTTTGTATGACTAAATCAGTACGTGCCTCTGAAGGCAAAGGGACAAAACCTGCGTACTTGGTAAAACGGTTGACTATGACCATGACTTGGCTCTTGCCATGCCTGCTCTTGACTTGAGTGTCCATGAAGTCTATGGACACTGAGTCTCCCGGTTGATGCGGAATGGGCAAGGGTTTGAGAAGACCTAATGGGGCCCGCGTAGAAGTCTTGTTACGCTGGCAGACTTTACAACTGCGAACATACTCTACGCAGTCATTCTTCATTCCTGGCCATGTATATGCGCGCATCAGATTGGCTAAAGTCTTCTGCCAACCAAAATGACCCTCTGTGTCGTGGTATTCTCCCAAAATCAGACTACGGATCTCTTCACTACTGGGAATGCACAGGCGGTCAAATACATTAGTCTTCTAAAAAAGCAGCCCCTCAGTAGTGCGGTAGTTTGGCTCAGTCTTTGGGGCCTCCTTGACCCTCTTGAGAAGGTCACTGTAGATAGGGTCCTGCGCATAGGCTTCTCTAATCTTCTGCTGCAGGTCTTTCCCTATGCCTAGGTAATGCACTATTGCCCCAAAGTAATCAGCTCTCCTGCTCAGAGCATCCGCAACTATATTGTATTTTCCTTTGACTGGCTTGAACTCAAAGTCGTACTGATCTATCTATGCGGCCCACCTAGTAAGCTTAGGTTTCATCTTGGCCTGCGTCTTTAACCATCTCAGTGTCTCGTGGTCAGAATAGACTTTGAAGTGCCTCCCAAGCAAGTAGTGCTTCCAATGTTCTAAAGCTTGTCTGAGAGCGTAGAGTTCCCTCTCTTAGGTAGATGTCGCGACCTTCTCTAAAGGCATCCTAGCGGACATGAACTCTACGGGTCTATAGCCATTACCATCGTCTTGCTGTAACACGACACCTATGTCGTACTGGCTAGCGTCCGTAGTGACGACAAAGGGCAAGGACGGATCGGCGACTTTAAGGACTGAATACTCTATTAATGTCTGTTTTAGCTTCTTCATAGCAGACGTGCAGTCCTTATCCCACTTCCAGATGGTCTCCTTCCTGAGCAACCTGCGAAGGGGCGCAGCGATGGTAGAGAAGTTCCTCACGAACTTCCTATAGTAGTTGGCTAGGCCTAAAAACGACCGCAGTTCTGTCAACGTCCGCCGTGTTGGCCAATCTCTAATCGTTGCGATCTTACAATCCTCTGGTTCAACACCGTCTCCGTCTAAGACGTGGCCTAGGTACAAAACTTGGGTCTTTGCCCAACCGCACTTCTTTGCATTGATCTTGAAGTTAGCTTCCCTCAGCTTCTCCAAGACCTGCCTGAGATGACCCTAATGCTCTTCAAGGGTCTTACTAAACACTAAAATGTCATCTAAGTAAACTACGACGAATCTGTCTAACCATGGCCTAAACAAATCATTCATACACCGCTGAAAAGTTGCTGGCGCATTGGTTAGTCCAAAGGGCATCACTATAAACTCATAATGCCCGTACCTAGTCCGGAAGGCTGTTTTATACTGATCATCAGGATGTACCTCTATCTGATGATATCCGGACTTTAAGTCTATCTTGGAGAAATACTTGGCCCCCTGCACTCGATCTAAGAGATCGTCTATCCTAGGCAGTGGCTCCGTATTCTTCACTGTAATAGCATTCAGACCCCTATAATCTATGCACATTCTCAGCTCTCCCTCTTTCTTAGGAACAAAGAGAACAGGCGCTCTGAAAGGAGACGAACTGGGCCTAATCCAACCCTTCTCGAGGAGCTCGTCTAATTGCCTGCAAAGCTCCTCTAACTCCCGTGGGGACATTCTATACGCAGCGCCCTTAGGAGTTCTACTGCCAGGCTCTATCTCAATGCGGTGTTGGATGGGCCGCGGTACCACTCCTATCGGCGGCTTAGTTAGATCCTTGAACTCTTCCAGCAGCTTGGCAATCGCAGGGTCCATCGGCTTTTCTTCCGTAGGCTCAGTCACTGGCCTAACATCCTGTTCTTCCAATTTCTCCTTTTTTCACCAATCTGGCGAACGCAGGAGCACTAAGACAGCAATGTGCCAACGGATTCTCTACTCCTGATACGTGGAACAGGCGGGCAGTCTTGGCCTCGCCTGAAGAACTAGGGAGCCTACACTCGTGCTCCTTCAAATGGAGTGTGGCCCCGTCTGCCTCTCCCCAATCCATTCCCAGAACAATATCAAATGGGAGGCTGTCTTCTACGAGGAGAGTCAGGGAGTGAAGGACCTTCTCCACTTTCCCATCCTTCTCTAGGCGGAAATACGCCTAGACTCCCTCTAGGTACTCCTCTACAACCATAGTACGATTGTCCGCGAGGATACTAACTATAGGGTCTGCTAGCTTTTGGACCTTAAGTCCCAACTTCAACTTCTGCAGCTTTTTCTTACTAATATAGCTGCGGGTGGCCCCTGAGTCTACTAGGGCCCCTACTCTGCCTCTAAAAATCTCTGTATCCACTAATGTAAGCTGCCCTTTATTTTCCTTTCTCATCTTGGCCCAGGCGGGCATCCTCTCCTTCAACTCTTCGACCACGCCTGTGAGGGAGGTGTCTAGAGAGACTCTAACACAAGCAGTCTCTGGACAGCCATCTAGACACCGGCCTGCAACCTCTGCCATAGGCACATGTGGTGTGGGAGTCTCCTGCCGGCTAGCGCTATGTTCCCCACATGGCCTAGTGGTAGGGGTAGTTGCTACCCGTACCGGCGGCTGCCTTTTGGCCCTTGAGCAGCCGTTCGGGTCTCTCGATACTTAGGACAATATTTGATGATATGGCTCGGGTCACCGCAGAAATTGCACTGGCCCTGGTCCAATCGTTGTTGCTATAAACCCTGGTCCAGACCCAAAGTTTCCCAAGGCCTACCCTGCGGTAGCCCTGGGTGCCATCCTCCTACCCTATACGGAGACCTATTCCTAGGGCGGTTTTGCGGGGGACCTTGACCCCTTCCTCTCGCTTGGCGGTTTCCTCCTCTGCCGCCAACCCCCTGATCCCCCTGAGGCCCGGCCCCCTTGGCCCTGGCCTCGTCCTCCTCCTTGCGGCCTCCCTCCGGCCGCGACAGCAGCGTAAGATCTCCCCTGGCCCACACCGCTGTCCTCTTCCTCCAACCCCCACTCGATCTGATCGTAGGGGATTTCGTCCACACTACCCTCATCTAAGGTTAGGACAAGACTATCCTTAGTCTTCAATTGCCCAGAGATAGTGCGGCCCTTCCACTTCTTTCCCTTGTCTAAGTCCTTGTGCCAGAAAGTGGAAACTGACACAGACTTCGCCTCAAACGCGACCACCTCCCTGCTAAGTGCGTCATAGGTCATAGCAGGGTACTGGCTCTTCGTAAAGAAGTGGCCACGCAGCAACTCGGGCATAGCCCTGTAGAAGAGGTTGACCAACTGGGTCTCAGTGACCCCATGGTCAAGAACAGCCACTAGCTCGTCCATTGTGCCTTTGAGTGCCCTGGCACTCTTCCATTGGCGCGAGTGGATGGTCTGAAGCCTATCTGAGGCTTTGACACTTCGAGCGACATCTACGAATCGCTCGCGCAGCATTTTCATAAAGTCAACGAGAGGGGTGAATGATGAGTATGCAACTGCATCATCATTGCAATTGGCGGCGCGGACTAGGGACCTTGTGAAACTAGCAGCCTCATCCCTAAGCACGTGGATGGCAATCAAGACATGCTGATCTGGGGAGACCTGTTGCAGGTGCACATAGGTTTTGATGTTGGCCTCCCGGTTGTCAAAGTTCTCTTCCCTTTTCCCACTGTAGGAATCAGGGAATTTGACTTTGACCGGCTCCCTGCGAGGACGAGTCTCCTCCTCCTTGGGAGCTTGCACCTTGACGCCTTCGATGGCGCTGACACAAAAACGCTCAGTCTTCTCGAGGCGGTGACTCACCTCGGACCCCACAGCGCCTACTAACTCGCGAGCAAAGTCTCGTAATCTCGTTCGCATCGAACGCACAGATATCTCCTGGCTGCGACTAAACTCTAAGTGTTTTTCTTGCACTTTTGCTAAACGCTCGACGCTCTGGGCGATGATCTCCACCTTCCGCTGGAGATCTACCTGGGGAGTCAACTGTAAACTCAGTTTCTGCACCTCCTCCAATTCCTGTACTGCTGCATTCGCCGCCTCCACTCTTCTCTTCTTCTCCCTCATCATTGCGAGCTTCCACGCCATCCTCTGTTCATCCTCCATCGCCCGCCGCGTCAGAACATCTTCTTCTGCTTCCCATCTTTTCATAGCGGCGTCTTGCTCATCCTTGGGGATGTACATAGTGACCTCTTCCTCTTCACCCAGGGATAAGTTGGTGACCCACTCCGAAATCCGTTTTTCCATCTCTTCGTCTTTGCTGCCACTGTGCTGCCCATTCCTCCTTTGCAGTGGCGGTCCTTCCTCTTCTTCCTCATCCACCTCTTTCAACTTCTCCTCTTCTTCTTTCTTAAATCTCTCCTTTTCTCTGGCCATCTCCTCCTCAATCTTTTTCAGCTTGGCTGCCTGCTCCGCCTGCAGGGCCTTCTTCTTGGGCTCCTTCTTCTCCTTCCTCTGCTGCAGGATGGAGACCATCTTCTCCTCCTCCTCCTTCGTGTAAGGTTGGGTGGAAGTACCACCCCGAGTCCCTACTCTACACGTAAAAGTGGGCTAGAAGCCCAGAGGAAAGAGGAGACGCCAAAGGGTCCCCCAGAGGGAGAACCCAACAAGCAACCCGTACATCGGATAGTCATCCATCGTGGTATCAGGTGCACAACAAGGGTCCCACTCCTACCACTTAGACCTACCCGGACACTGACCTACTGCCTGACTCTCTAAGGTCACTACTCAAACTAAGGCTGTCACTACTGAACCAACAGCTGATCAGGAGGCATTTAAGGAGATCCCCCAAACTCCGCAGGAATTCTTTAACGTCGCAGTCAGGACGACGTGATCAGCGTTGTTCTTCCTGGCGATTTCAGCCCACAACTCAGCCGTTCCGGCCGCGTGTGCCACATCGATCAGCCCGCCGGTCGGTACCGGTCCTTGGAGGGGTTCATGTCCCTCGGGTCAGTCGAGTCGTCAGACGCGGAACATCAGCCTTACTAGGTCCGGTAGGGGAGTGGTTCAACCAGGCCTCAACACTTAAAGACGACCTTCGTTTCAGCCTACAGCGCGGAGTTCGGACACTCTACACTGAAACTGAGTAGACCTGCCGGACAGTACCGGTCATTGGGCTAGACGAGTACTGGTCATTGGGCTAGACGAGTTGTTTAACGAGCGCTCGCCGCTCATGCCCAAGTCTCCAGATGCCAGAGTAGAGCTTTAGTCCTACTAAGTCCCGTGCAGGTTTGGCAGCAAGGCCCTATCCTTCATCCACAGAGTCCTAACACGTAGGACATAAGAAACTCAATGCAGAAAGGAAAGACATACAGACTCGAACTCAGCACGTACCGTAGGGTGTGTGCACATCCACAGGGTAAGGGGATAGGCTGAGGGCTCAATGAGATATCACCAACTCCATCTTGGCCAAAATCGTGGTCAGCAGCTCCGGTCAACGCCGTGGTCAACGCTAAGTCAAACCGAACAACCCTCAGTCAACACTTGGTCAACACCCTTGGTCAACGCCTGGTCAACCCTGCACCTCGGCTATGGCTGCCGGCACCTTCACCTTCGTCACCCTCGCCGCTTACTTCCCCTTCCTTCACCCTTCTCTTTCTTCACTTTCTCTGTTTTTTTTTTTTTTTTTGGTTCACCCCCAGCTATGTCTGTCTTCTTCTCTGGTGTCCTCCTCCCACACTTCTTCTTCTCTCTCCTTCGGTCCCTCCTCTATCCTCCCTGTCTCTCTCCTTCAATACCCTGTGATGATACTCCGCGGCTATGGCCGTTGTCTTCCTTCTCCACCGGACCACACAACTCGCCTCACAGGTAAGTGACAACCAATCTTGGATCGCTCATCTCTCTCTCTCTCCTGCCGTAGCGGTATCTTCAGCGAAGCAGGTAATAACCCAATCTTGTATCTCTCTCTCTCTCTCTCTCTCTCTCTCTCTCTCTCTCTCTCTCTCTCTCTCTCTCTCGGTCTTCTTCTTCGTCGTGATCTTCTTGATGCAGGTGCGCGGCGGCTTCTTCCACCTCGAGGTCCGCTATGGCGGACTGCCTCCTTCGGTCGCCCTCAGCTATGGCCTGCACACGGCGGCGCGTGCAACAGCGGGTACCTGCTTCGATACCAGTGCAATCAGCCTCGACTTATTCACACGTGAACAACAGAACAGCAAACTGGCGACATGCGCCCACACTGTACTCAGAGATATCGTAACCAGATAAGAGTTCTCTTGTAGTTGGCTATGGCGGCTGTGCGCCCAAACAACTCGTTGTTCACACTCTGGATCACCCTGGATGTCCCACGCACATCACTTTGAACACACACACAGTACACACACACTGCACTCTATACTAAGCTATGGCATCTATGGCTGCCGCTACCTATCGCTATGGCTACCCTGCTTCACTCTCGCCCACTTCGTCTTCGGGCCTCCAGCAGACCTCCTTGCACAAGACGCTGAAGCAGCACTTCCGCATGGCTTCCGCATGAATGAATGAATGGCTGGGCACAGCCTCTTGATTTATACTTCTGTGCTGCGTTGGTCTGCCCTGTACCCCTGACCCATCGTGCACACAGTCCCAGACGGTACTTGCTGGACTGGACCGGACTGGGTAGACTGGGACTACTGACTGTACTAGGTGGACTACCACCACTTGACCACTTGCCTCTGCTTAACGCAGGCTCACTCCGAAAGGCCACTTCTACAAACCTCTAACTTGGCCTTTCGGTACTGTAGCAGCTACGACTTTGCCCTTTCAGGTAAGTAGCAGCTACGACCTTGACCCTTCAGGCAGTCTACAGCTACGACCTCTAAACTGTCTAGACACCTACCCCACAGGTCTACAGTTTGAATCCCTTATGCCCTGTGATCTACGAAAAGCTACCTACCACAGGCGGTCCTACACGTTGCTGGTTCAAATCTACGGGTTGACACCGTTACTGTACATAGGTAAGATGGGGAACTAGGGATCGAGCCCTGGGGTCTGCATCCGCTATTGCGAACTGGTAAATACCGTTTCACATTGCCCTATCAAATGTAAAGAAAATAGTCTAATTGTTAGCCCCTACACTATTATCCCAACAGCCCCTAGGATCTGGCATTTCCTTTGCAGAGAAGGTACTATGCAGACTTACTACGTCCCATAGTCTCTTCTATTGAGGTCATAACACGGTGTTCCCTTCACCTATCTCTCGCCTTTTATGCCTGTGTCACTCGAGGCAGACCTCACACTTCCAAGGCTATATAATTCGAACAACTGTGTAGAACCCAGACTCAAGGATTCCAATCCATGCTCATAAAAGGCTTTCAACATCCCTAGCCTCTTTCTAACACCAAAGCACCAAGTTGCTCTCATGACCACTCAGATAACTCTTCGACCATAATAGGTACCTTATAGGGCCAAACTTCCCCAATAACCATATTTAACCTTGTTAAGGCCACCTCTTCCAACCTTCGCCTTATCAATATGGAAAGCTTCGCCCAAACCCACCAACTATCAAGGTCAGAAGAGAGGTACTAACTCCAACTTTCGTTATATTAGTCAGAGTACGTGAACGCATAGTCATAACGTCTACCTCTCGCTCCACCCTCATTGCGCTTAACTGAAACCAACTCACATAATCAACTCTCACTCGCTCTCTATTCAATACCTCCAATCGATTAACCATAAAAGCCAAAAGAAACTTTTGATTTTGCCTATTTCTCACATTCCCATACCCGGATGTCGTGCCACCAGGGACAACGGCAGGCAACCGTTATCCCCGGCAACGGCGCCACCTGTCGAGCGTATCGGTCCGGCACCGCACAGGCGAGGCGGGACCTTTTCGATCGCGTAACCCAGGAGTTGGTCTATTCCTCATCGTGATATATACGTGGAGTTTCCACAAGCCGCTCCGGCCGAGTGCGCCACCCATACCTCTCACGAGCCCCTACGATAGGATAGGGCCTACGCAAGGCACGACTTACCTCCACCTTACGGAAGTTGTCACCTCCCTTCGGCGGGCGTATCCCCGTCGAGCTACTTGTCCACAGTACAAAAAACTAATCAGCTGCGATCGCAGAGGTGGATAAGCCGAGAGCATTTCTCGTTCACTGTCGCATAGGGGGTACGCGTGGTTTTACGCCTCTATCGGACCCGCACGCGAACCGACGCCTTGGGGGGCTGAGGTCCCAACCGCGACTCGTTATCGGTCGACTAGGACGCATCCCACACACCACGCGTACACCACTCTAAAGAACATAAATATAAAAACACACACATATACGCATACATATACAGAACGACAAAAAACAAACAACGCGACAAAACTCCTAGTCCTTTAGTAGTCATCCCAGAACTCTTTGATGCGGAAATCGGATAGGCGTCGCGCGCGAGACATAGTATAAAACCGTGTGGACGCAGGGCTAATCTCATGTCGACTTACAATGCAATCATACACAAGCAGTCGCAATGATAGCGTACTATGTACTACCCATACTCATGCGGTCTTCGTTAATCTCGAGGTTCGCATTGGACACTCAAGTGTCAGCTGACACGCGCCTTGAGGGATTGATCTCTCGACGGTGGACAACCTCCAAGTGCGGTTGAGAACCACACCCTCTTATCCACCCTGCAGAGAGTGGGTGGTACACAGGTTCATACTTGTGGTGACAATCATCTATATCGCCTTGGAGACCAGCTCCATCATCCAGGGCATAGAGAGAAATCAAGGGGTTTGACTTTGACGGCTGTCACGGACTACAACGTCCAACTATAAAAAAACTCTGAAAAGCAAAGGACAACAGGGGATCTCCCTTCTCTCTCAAGAACATAATTTGTTTACCCTTACGCGTGGTCATAGTAGATAGCGCGGAATACTCAAGACATATGTATATACATATTTATAAAGGGTTATAAATATGTGACGATCACATCTCACAATCAAAGTGGGACTCCTCTCAGCCATATATATGTATATAATCGTAGGCAGTCAAATCCAAAGTCCGAATCACCAAACATACCTACAATCACATCAAAGATTCAACCGAAAGTCCATGCACTACGCGGGGTCAACTTCAACCATTCTCTGCACTCACACCCCTCGTTTTAGCCATGCAAGCCTCACTCTTGTGCAACTCCTCAAAATCAAATACCTAGTACTTTTCTTAAATGGCCATTCAAATAAGTCCGGGTGAAAACACAAGAAAACAATTCAAATCACAAGGCTAAAGCCTTTAGGTTGAGTGGCAAGAGTGGATTGGAGTTGAGTCGTAAACCGACGACTCGGCAACCGACCTGTTATTAGTGATAACAGAAGATGATCATCGTGGGGTCAAGCCGAATCTAGTCCAAATCTTAAATCAAACGATCAAGAGGACCTGTAACACAAGACAGGTCAATACCCAAGCTAAGATCATAAGTGTATGGAGAATAAGGCTCAATAGCACATTCGCACCCAAGGTCCTCTTATAATTAAGCCTAGACCTACCTCTAAACCAGTACCTAATGCAAGGTAAACCTATGGCCGCATCTCCCTTATTTAGGATGGATTGTCAAAACTGCCACCTGTCAAAATAAATGCTAACTCCCTTAAACTTAGAAAATTTCAGCAGCGCTTCCCGTAGGAAAAGTGTCTTCTCATAATCAATACTAACTCAATTATGAAAACAAAAACAAACTCCGATTCAGGAAAGTTAAATTTTGTCCAACTCCTTGAATTAGTAAAAATTTGGGCAACACTCCTTTTAGAAAAGAAGACTTTTCATATTCTTACTAAGCCAGATATGAACCCAGAGAAAAACATGAGTCATACTAAGACATAATTTAACTAACTCAGATTTGTAGAAATTTCGGCAACAATCCTTTCAGAAAAGTGTTAATCCAAGATTTATACAAAGCTAAGTTCATAATCTAAAGTGACTTTGACTTTCTCAAGGTCCAATTTTGTCGAACTCCCTTAATTAGTAAAACTTTAGGCAACATTCCCTTTAGAAAAGGAGACTTTCCAGATTTTTACTGAGCCAAATATAAAAAATCAGACAAGCTGAACTTAGAAAAGAAAAAAAATTGACTAAATTCTTGACTTTGTAGAAATTTCGGCAGCGCTTCCCGTAGAGAAAGTAGCTTACCAAGATTTATACAAAGCCAAGTATAAGAAATGATCCCAGAAAATGCAAGAATTGACCTAAGTAAAAAAAAGGTTAGCTCGGAAAATGCGGGAATTGAAACAACCTCCTATAGCTCTAGCACGTGGCGAGCAACTAAAGCAACTACCTATCAATATGAAACTCAGACTAGATAGTGATCTCACTCAGCCACATGCAAGGCCAAACCACAAGGAGTAAGTACTCTCACCATCCCTAAGCCAAAATCCTCATAGATAGTTAATGAATCTTTCAGAAGCTTTAACCCGTATACCCAGCTTACATATGGCGTAGTGCTAGACCATTCAGCTTAGAAACAATGTCTAGCATGCCTCTAAGATATACACGAACAGGTTGCACAATTACTTTTCTCTTCTTTAAGCATATGACTAGACCATTCAGCTTAGAAAAAATGTCTAATCGCCCTTAAACAATACCCAAAGTTTAACAATTTCTAAACTTTGTTTTAAAAAATAAATGAAAATATGGGCAGGGGATTGGGCCGTTCAACTTAGAAACAATGCTCAACTTGCCCAGATTACTTCCAATTATACTTTGTAATTTTCTTCTCTTCTTAGTGATACGGCTTAGCATTGGACCATTCAACTTAGAAACAATGTCCAGCTGCCAGTTCTCATGCAAGTATAAATAAGTACTTCCTGTTATACTCAGTTTATACTTATGTGCGTGGTTTTCAGGCAAAACCATTCAACTTAGAAATCATGTGTAGCCTTAGACCATAAATCCTCCCTCAAAAATAAACAAAAGGCTGAACCATTCAGCTTCGAAACAATGTTCAGCCTATCCTCAAACCAATCAAAACATGAAGTTGGATTCTTTAGCCCAACTTCAGTCAGAAACCCCAAAAGAAACAGACAGACCAAGCCATTCACTTACAAACAATGCTTGGTCCCACAGATCAACCAGGCAAACCCTCACAACTAAACACGACAACCAGAGCATTCAACTTAGAAACAATGCCTGGTCCTTCAAAAAAACAGTCAAATAAACATAGCCAGGGACCATTTAGCTTAAAAACAATGTCCAGTCTTTTGGTTGACCTGGTTAAACACATGCAAACTGCCTTCCTCCCACCTTCCCCAGTTCATCCATTAGTATGCTTTTAGCCAAAATAAAGAGAAACTTAAACTTCACTCACACGCGTTCCTTCCGTTCAGTCTGATTGAGTCGTGAAATGAAAGCAAAGTCATAGGGGATCATATGCATACAACAGTCAAACTAAAGGGAGATAGTCAAACAGAGGCATAGTGGGATCATACAAATAGAAAAAAATATACCTTGTAATGACCCGTCAAAACACAGACTGAGAACACCGATGATATTTAAAGTTTTGCTGATGGAATGGATGCCTTGATGAGATTCCCGCATTCTGCTGTGTTTTCTAAGTCTGTCTGTGTGTGTGTGCTTGTGACCTGCATGCCTGTCTGAGTGTTTGTTGATATGAGTGTGTGTGGGACCCGCAAAGGTACTTGCTTGTTTGGTAGGCCTGTAGGGCCGGTACTTACCTGTGGCCGTGGCATTGAGGGTTGTAGTAGGGAAAAACACTAAAGTGGCGAAGCTAGCGGCCGCGAGGCCCTTGGGGTAGCGGAAAAACACTCAAGTAGGCCGGTAGGCCGATACTGCACCCCACTGCAGTTGGCGTGAGGGGTACTGGAGGCCGAGCGGAAAAAGACAAAGTTGGCATTTTTAGAGTCCAGTAGCGGTAGGGTAGGTCTAGGCCGGTACCAGTCCAACCAGTCTGAGTCTAGAGCCTGTACGGGTAATATCAGGGTCTGCAATGATGTTTCCCTCCGAAACGGAGGAGGTACCGGTTGCTTGGAGAGGCCGAGCGGCCTAGAAGTCACCGCCCAGGAGGCAAGTAGGCCGCTATATCAAGAGGCAGGGCGGAGAGCCCAGCCTCATTCTTCAGTGTGTGAGTTGGGCGTCACGTTGCTAGAGTGCTAGGTGGAGGAGCGCTGGGCTCTACAGCGCTGCTGGGAGGAAGAAGCCGGGAGCTTCCACCTTGGCTATGGTGGAGCTCGGCCGGTAGGAGGAGGAGGGAGAAGGGGACCAAGGAAGATAGTGGTAGAGTACTTACCTGGCTATGGTAGACACCATCTTCATCTCCTTGCTAGGCGTTGCATGAGGAAGGCCCCAGTGGGGGTAGTGCCGCATCAAGGAAGCTCGGACAGAGTCAGGCATGGCGGTTGAGTGGGCAGCGACATAGCTGCTGGGTGATGACCTGGAAGAAGGGCAGCGGTGTAGCTGCTTGGGGTTGTCCTTTGTACCGGAGGTCCGTAGTCCGCCATAGCCTCGGCCTGTGTGTGGAGGAAGAAGAAGGGCTGCCATGGCTATGGTGGACCTCATCTTGTGCCTGCAGTAGAAGTGGGATTCGGACATTGATTCTGGTTCAGCTGTTCAACATTATTCTTGTTTATCTATTGTTTGAATAAGAGAGGGGGAGATAAAGAGGAGGAGGTTGTTGAGCGAAGAAGAAGAGCTTTGTCTTTGGTCTATGCTGGAGTACATCATCTCTTTCTTCTTTCTTAATTCTTCTTCTTCTTCTTTCCCTCTCTCTCCTCTCAAGTTCTTTCATTTCTTTTGCAGGTTGACGGCATTGGGCTCAAGTTCATTCATTTCTTTTCGCAATTGGACGACATTGTACTTTCTGATGATTGTGGACTTCAAAATTGGCCAGGATCGTAACATTGGTATCAGAGCAGATTCTACTTGTTGGCGAGAGTTGACTTTGCTGCCGTAACCCTAACCCTAGTGGTAAGGGCTACCACTTAGGGTTAGGGCTGGAAGTTAGGGTTAAGTGGGGCAGCGTGGTAAAGGGAAGCTGCCCCCACCTTGCAAGGTCGTGTAGGGTCGACACTAGACCCGACCAGGTTGCTTGAGTGCATGTTTGTGGTGGCGAGACACAAGGTGGGACTTCGTGATGCAATTTGAGAGAGGCGACAGTGATGGGCACCTACAACTTGAATCTGGACTTCAAGGAAGAC